AAATATTGTAAGGGTGGTTGTAAGAGTTCTTTGATTTACCTTGAGGATTACCTTGAAGAATTGTGATAAATGGGGATTTAGACTTAAAATGAAAAATACTATCATGGAGAAACTGAAATAGTTGCATTTGGCCAGGGCTGGGGGTAGTGGGGAGAAGGAAAAGATATTTCCTGATTTCACAAAAGCTTAAAAAAAAACAAAAAAAACTTCTGTTTATAGAATTTTCTGATGCTAATGCAAAATTTTACTGTCGGCTCTACTATGCGGGAGAGTTTCATAAGATGCGTGAAGTGATTCTAGGCAGCAGCGAGGAGGATTTCATTCGTTCCCTTTCCCACTCGTCACTCTGGCAGGCCCGAGGAGGCAAATCAGGAGCTGTCTTCTATGCGACTGAAGGTAAGCTTTTTCAATCATTTACTAATTAAGCAATTTCCATATTTTCTCAGATAATTTATGAATCACTTGAACTGAGGTAGTATGGTATCATCTATTGGCAAACAAAGTTTTTTGTTTCTCTTATGCTTTGAAAAGATGTAATAAAATTAATAAAAGAATATACATGTACTATGTTTGTAATGAGACTTAGGTGCTGATTAAGTTCTTATTAAACTCTTTCCAATAAAAAATAACAGAGAACATCTAGAAAACACAAAAGGATACCTCAGGACTGGTAAGAGAAAGGTAAAAATAGAAATATTTAACATCAAAATAGAAAGGCCAAGTTCTTAACCTGTAGGGTTTACAGAATATCACAACCATTTGTACTTCACATCCCATTTTCTATGCCCACTGAAAATGTGATTGAGAAAATGCAACAGAAGGGATGTTGCGTGATGAGAACTTTCATAACTATGACTTACTGAATTATTACAGAGGAGTTCATAAAGTTTTCTTTAGTAGCTCTAAAAAGCAGGTTGTCTAGCAATGCATTTAGGTATGATATTGTTAAAAGTAGAGGGTTCTTGACTGTACAAATCCTCAGGATCCCTTCTGGCATTTCGGGTACCTGAGAATTACTCTCTGATCCAAATTTTCACTGTGACATAAGAAATATCCTTAAAATCATAAGGCAACCAAATAATTTGAGATCTTTGGAATAATGTATTGTGGATTACAGTATATTTGTGATGAAATAAACGCTTGAAATTTCTGCCTTTTAGATGATAGATTCATTTTGAAGCAAATGCCTCGTCTGGAAGTCCAGTCTTTCCTCGATTTTGCACCACACTACTTCAATTATATTACAAATGCTGTTCAACAAAAGGTAGAAATCCCAAACCCCGGTCCATAATCAGAGTTTACTGGGCGTATGCACATCCCGAGGGTTAGTCCTAATGGCAGTTTTCTATTGAGGTAAGATACGAACAGGACTTGACTGGATCTCTCTTGTGCTGTTGAGGTGTGATAGAATGCAGAGATTTCAAACTGAAATTGTCTTATCTTTGCTGTTCAGGAGCCAAATGATCTTGAACAAGTTGCTTTTTACTAGTATGTAAATAAAAATCAACTTAAGACATCAATACTGGATGAAATTAGCTACACATTCAGTAATTGGTAATTTTGCTAAGACAGAAATTTGAAATACGTGTTGAGAAATGAGGAATGCCTTCTATTGCTACATGGCCAATGGCCCAGATTTGCTCACTTATCATTGAGCAGTGACCTCACCTTCTGTAAGATATGAAGGAGTTATATAGAGTTTTTCTTTAAAGTTATTTATTTTTATTGTTATTGGAGGAAATTACATGTTATAATTAAGTTTTTGAAATTTGAACAACTGAAGGATTATCCCATGGAAGAATGTTACTCTGATATTTTTTATTGGCATTGCTGCAATATGCATTTCTGAAATTCAGGGGTGTGAGTTTTTTTTTAAGGTCCTCTAGAGTTGATCATATCTGTAAAAAATAATGTTCAGACATTATGTAGATAGTCCAGGTATGAGTAATAAATTATACAAAGCTCTTTTTGATAAGAGTTTACTTTGATCTTTTCTTATTAGAGGCCCACTGCATTGGCCAAAATTCTTGGTGTTTACAGAATTGGTTATAAGAACTCTCAGAACAACACTGAGAAGAAGTTAGACCTTCTTGTCATGGAAAATCTTTTCTATGGGAGAAAGATGGCACAGGTAAGGATATTGAACTGTGTGAAGTATTTGGCTACTAGAACCCTTTGTCCTTTTGGTTTTTAAGTGTAGTAAATCAGAGTAATATTTTGTACTAATGATGTAACTTTGGTTACTAGGCCAAATTTAACTTTTGACTTCTTGAGCCTTGGAGGAAAGAATAAAGAGGAATTATTGATATGGATTGGTCTTAAAATTTAACATATCCAATATTCTAGAATCACAGAATTGGTAAAAATGAAAAGGTAGATCTACTTAACCCATCTTAGTTTTAAAGATTAAGGCACTGAGGCCTAGAGAAATAAGTACTTTAAGAAAGTCACTCACTATTCCTAGAACTCAGATTGGTGTAGATTCTAGAATAGTGCTTTGCAAAGTGCTGGTCTTTAAACTGTTTTTAGTATGGGATGAGATAAGCAGCTTCTGCTAGATTATAATTCAATATGCTGGTTTCATCATTGAGAGGACCTTGCTATGAGAAAAACATCAGCTGAATTAAACAGAGTACTTAAAGATATAATTGATTTACATTCTGGCCGTAGTTCCCTAACATCAGTGTGAGCCAGGGGCAACTGACCAGTACTGGTCTGTGGAATACACTCCAGGTTGTGCTGGTCATATTGTATAACTCAAGTCTCCTGATCTTTGAGTACTTTGCTTTTCCCACCACCCAAATATTCCTGGAATAATGCTGTTACTTCTCTATTTTCATTGTAAGAGTTTAGTGTCAAAACTTTGTTTACTAAGACTGTTTGCATCTCTTTTTTAAAAAATGTTGCTTTATGATCAAGGAATATATTTTTGTAATGACTTGTTAATGCATTTCAAAGTTGGTTAAATTGGCCGGTGTATTTCTGAACTGTTTGAGTAATTGAATACCTAGGTATTAATTACATATGATCTAATTATATTACCATGTATTTTATATATTATACAATTATATCAGCATGTGTTTAATGACTTGTTATAAAAATTATGATTGAATTGTAAAGTTAAACAGGTATGTAATGATAGTGACCACAAGAGTCTTTCTGCCTTTTAAATTTATAAAATTGATTAACCATTTTGTCAGCTCACACTGACACAAAGATTTTCTTTCTGTTAGGTTTTTGATTTGAAGGGCTCACTTAGGAATCGAAATGTAAAAACTGACACTGGGAAAGAGAGTTGTGATGTGGTCTTGCTGGATGAAAATCTCCTAAAGATGGTTCGAGACAATCCCCTGTATATTCGTTCTCATTCCAAAGCTGTGCTCAGAACCTCCATCCATAGTGACGCCCATTTCCTTTCTAGCCACCTCATTATAGATTATTCTTTGCTGGTTGGGCGAGATGATACTAGCAATGAGCTAGTAGTTGGGATTATAGGTAAGTCGTTAAGTGTACCTTACTTACAGTTCATGATTGAATCTAGAATAAAACTTACAGATTCTCTCGAACCTGGCTTAGCAATAGCTCATTGACTGTTTTTACAAACTTTCATTTGAAATTTCAAAAATAATGGTTTTTCATTCTAGTCCCTTCTATTCACCTTCCTCATTTCTGTTTTCATGATCTTTACCAAAAATGTGAATTTAAAAAGTTACTATTAGCAGGATGTAGCAGCACGTATGTTTAGTCCTAGCTATGGGGGAGGCTGAGTTGGGAAGATCACTTTAGCCTAGGAGTTTGAGGTTACAGTTAGCTACAGTGATGCCCCTGCACTCTAGCCTAGGCAACAGAGGGAGGCTCAGTCTCAAAGAAAAAAAAAAAGTCACTAATAAATGAGGCCCTTTGTGATTGTTAGAGGGATTGAACAAATTAACATGGGGGAATCCCTGAGAATAGCACCTGACACATCATCAGCACTCAGGGAAAGTTGACCATGTCAGGCATAGTAGTGATAGTCGTTTGCACAGTTTCATTGCTGATTCCACCTGCGTCCTCTACCCTCAGATTATATTCGAACATTTACATGGGACAAAAAGCTTGAGATGGTTGTGAAGTCAACAGGAATTTTAGGAGGACAAGGTGAGCAGAATTTTTGTTTTGTTTGCTCTTTAAAGTGTTCTCATGTATTTATTATCAGTTAAAATTTTAAACATGGATGCTTTTTTTTTTTATAGTTCTAAAACACAAGTGACTATCTCTTATTTCATCATTATGCACCAAATAATAATAGGGGAAATTCTACAGGGGGAAATACTGGGTATAAATTTGTGTTAAAATGGCGGAGGTTCTCAGAATTGAAGGTTAAAGCATAAAGCCAGAGGTTCTGAATAAGAAGTTGTTTTTAGCCCTTGAGACTCTCTGCATTTTTCTAAGCATTGCTAGTCTCATGTATACTTTTAAACATCTCTCATCTGTAGGAAAAAGCTAGCCTTTTAAAATAGAAACTCCTATCAGGCAAGACCCTATCCCATGGCATGTGAGATAACCCTGTCTCACTGAAACTGCTCTGGTTGTCTGTGTCTTTATTGGCATTTGTATGAAAGAACATAGTCGGTTGCCCAGTCAGTTATATAACAGCTTCTTTTCCCTTTTCTCTTTCATAATCTTAGGCAAAATGCCAACTGTGGTCTCACCAGAACTGTACAGGACTAGGTTTTGTGAAGCAATGGACAAATATTTCCTGATGGTACCAGACCACTGGACAGGCCTGGGTCTAAATTGCTGAAATCAATCAATCAAGCACGTATTTTGAAATGGATGATGAAAGAAAAGAAGGCAGGAGCAAAGGACCAAAAATAAGCTACGTGTTTTCTTTATCATATTCACCTTTGCAAAAAGACTTCTAAGTTCTGTGGCTCTTGAGACTGTCTGTGGTCGAAGTATAAAAATTCTGTGGATTTGCACTTTGTTTTTTGATACCTGTAGATTAGCTGTCTGCAGGTTGGGAAGTTGCATGCAAATTTTTTCATTGAAGACTTCAAAGGGCTAAGGTTAGAGATAAGTAGATAAGAGCAAAAAAATGGGGTTGTCATATTTGCTAACTTTAATAGTTTTAAGAAGAAGCATTGTCTCATAGATTGTGACTTTCTTGGCATCATATTTGACATATTCTTGGAAAAACATTTGTAGAGCTGTTGAATTTTGTGTGTGTGTGTGTGTTTATGTAATAATTTAATATTGCCTATTATCAGAATTTCTGAAACCTTTAGAAAAATTATGATTTATTCCACTAATGACCATTTAAACAGGTTGGCCCTTACTGTTTTATTAAGGGATTTGACTTAAACTGGGATTCCTATAAGGTTCTTTATTTTCCCAGCTTAACTTGGTTTTGAATGTGTTTGGTATTTTTAAAATTCTGTCTTCTTGGTGGGTGACAGAAAGCTTGTAGCCATTAACTTTAAGCCTTTCTTTGGAGCTATTTTTTAAGCTTGTTTAAACCTTTTGTGTAATTAATATATTAAATTTTATTTACCTGCATATGCTCATATTCTAGGTTTTTCCCCCATTATCAGGGAAACATGGTTATTATTAGTAAATTAGTCTGCAGTAACTAAATCCTTAAAGGAAGAAGTCATCAAGAAGTTTCTTTTAATATCAAAAAGGGATTAGGCCCAAAAAAATGGGTGAGAAGGAAAGACTTGCTTGTTTTTTATAGTGGTAAAATATCTGTAAAATTAAAAAATTTCTGGTGTGGACATCTTCTTTTTTCTAACTTTCTACACACTAGCTAGTTCCAATGACTGATAAATAATATTATTCTTAGTAAGGACTTTCTTGTTGAATAGTCAGCATTTTTGTTTGTTTTAAAAAGTGATGAAAAGGACTAAACTATCTTTGAGGAGATACTGTAACCCTAGAACATTTCTTCTTGGCTTCTTTCTGTAACAAAGATAATTTGAGGATTTAAGTTTTAAAGATTGTACTCTTTCCAGACTGCATGTAATAGCACATCAGTTTTCACATAATAAGAATAAGATGTCTGGATAAGTTCAGTTATAGGAAGTACATGAAGTAGGAACATTTTGGAAAGTTTGTTTTAGAGAAGAAGGCAATGGTTTGACTTTTCTGCTTATTAAAAATATGGTTTGTTTGGGGGTAAAAGCTGGAAACAAATTGACCAAGTATTTATGACTGATCTGTTAAGTCTCTCCCGACCTCTTTTTAAAAACATGTGTATGTGCCTTTTGAAGAAACACAAAATACTGATGATTTTAGTTTTGATATCAAAGACTAGGAAAGGAGTTGTACAGAGGTTAAAGATATGTGGAACATTTTTAACTTCATTTTTGTACAGGAACAATGGATTTTGTGTCTGATTTGAAATGCTAATATTGCTTTGTCTTCTCTGTTCGTTTTTTTCCCCAGTCAGCATAGTTGGGATTATTTATCCTGTTCATTTCCTGTAAATCCCCCCACCCCCCGTCATGAGCACCTAAAGTACATAGTACATGATGTCTATCCCCAGTTATAAGCAAATTGTTTGTTTTTGTAGTTTCTGTACTATGTGCATAGCAAGGATACTTCATAGGAATGGCTCTTGACAATAATGTGTCATGTTGAGTTTGTTTTCCTTGCCCTTGACTTGAAAAACTATATTTTAAAATACTGCTGCCTTGTAGGTAATTTTGTGGTTAAAAAATTCCAATGTAATATATTCTGAACAATAGTTATAATACAAGGGCAATCTTTACTTTTAAAATTAATGTCTGGACTGTGTTAATGAAGGAGGAATATCCGATTTAACCATTTGTTTTGAGTGGTAGAACTGTATGCCTGGCTTCTTGCCGCTTTTACTTAGACTACTTCTCTCTTGCTCTCTCTATAAGATGTTTCAAATATTGCGCTTCTCAGTGTTAAACATTGACTATTTTCCTTTCTTGAATTCCCTTTCAAGGCCTAGAAAATACTAATGTTGAAACGTTAGGAATGAGGAAGAAATCTTAATAAATACTTCCTTTCTTAGAGTGTAGTATGAAATCTTGAGAATAATTGTGAGTAGCAAGAGAAAACTATGTTAATGTAATGCTTTATATAAAACATCTTTTTTGTAAATGTGAAGCTTTTCAGTGCCATTGACACTTATTTTAAAAAATTGAGTTAGTGTTTTCTTACTGCAGCTTAAGAAAAATACTGAGAATAAGCTGTTGCAAGTCCTTTTGTAGTCTGTTGAATACTTTAAATTTATAGCTATCCAAAATTTCCTACTACAAAATGTCTTACAATTTTTTTTCCATGATTTAGCAGTGAGTGGTTTTCTAGTTCTGGCTTTTATTGGGTAATGTAAATAGGATTAGCTTGGCATCAACTTTTGTGACAGTCCGTCGCCAGCAGCTTCTTGGCAGTTTACTCTTTAGCACAGGGCTGCCAACAAAAGTATAGAAAAAGTTTGCTGAGCTTGAAGAGTGAAAACTATTGTGAATGAGCCTGATAGTGAAACAGATCGGGCATTTCTTTTAAGTATTAACATACTGACTTACACAGTATTCAAACCATCTAGTGCATTTTTTTTTGTAACATAGGCACAGTGTATTATAGAAAAAATAAAAATTTACAATCATTAGCAGTTTTATTAGGACTGCTGTGTCAGTTTTGTAAAAGAAATGTACATTACGTCTTTTGACAGGTTGAATTTTAAACTAGAGAAACGACATTGTAAATCATAACAGCCTCTTAATTTAATATGAAAAAACAATATTGAACGTACTTATTGTATTATATTGTATATATTTCTCTACTTTGGGTCCTGCTGTTTTATATGATTGACATGTTATTTAAAAGATAACTGCCTTGACTTTTTGGAGACTTGTACTGTAAATAAGACTGACAATAAACTAAGACTCTAGTTACCCCTCTTAGTTTTGAATCTGTTTGTGGAAATTAACAACAAAAGAAAATGAATGGAATTTGGAGCTCAAGCCTAGTCCTTGGCCTGCGGGTTCGGCCTTCGCTTCTTTCTGTTCATTCTCTTTGTTTTTCCTAGAAGAAAATATGAATGAATCTTTCACGTAAACCGCAGTTCAGGTCGGCCAATGGCGGGCAGGGCTGTGTTAATGCTTTCCGGTCTTTCCTCTGTTTTCCCTTTCCTGATAGGGCACTTGAGGAAGTCCTGTCCTTTTCCTATTTGCAATTGGCTGAATTGCGGGGATGTGGGGTGGGGCTGTGGGCTGTAGTCTCTCTGGAGAATTGTGACCAGGTCTTTAGTTACCTGTGGCCGCTGTGGACAAAAGGCCATGCTGCCCACTGCCTCCCTGGATTTACGGGCGAAAGGACAGTGGCTGGGCAGAGGCTGCGACAGGTGACGGGAAGGTCGCAGACTGGCGGGGCGGCACCTCCCGCTCACTGCCTCTGTTTTTCCTTGTAGGGCGGAACACACTGAGGGAGGTCTCAGTGTCTGGTCACCTGGAAGTCTGCTGTGTCGGAAGTTAATTATCTTATAAGATTCCTGGGTCTATGCTTAAGGAAACTAGAAATTTTTCAAAAATGATCTTTTGCCCCATTATTACATTTTTATATTTTGAAGCAGTTCATGGCCGTTTTTGTGCTTTGGCGGCATTTTTTGTACCATAAATGGAAACATTCTTTGACTGGGTAAGAAAAGCAGCCCAGCTCTTAGTGAACAGCCGCCACGGGAACCTTTACTGATCCCTTAAAAACATTCGGCAAAGTGACCCTTGACCTCCTTAAGCCCCTCATTGCCTCCTTCCCCAGCAGCTGGGAGGAGGGCCCCATACTCCTCTCAGGTCATCTGATCTGGAGGCCCTTTGAAGCTGACTCCGACTTCCTCTCTTCTGAGGTCCATTCCGGGAGGGATGGTGCCGAACTGCGAACTCTTGGCTTTATCTGCACGGAGCCCCAAGACTAAGGTCTGGCTGAAGCCCGGGAACTTGCCACCCTCTCCGCTCGTCTTCCTGTCCAGGGTTGGAGGACTCTGGCTCATCCAGCCTTCTGCTGAAGCGTAGCACCCCCACCTTGCCATGGTGGAGACGGCATCGGGAAGCAGCCCTGGGTTGCTGCCACTAGCAGGCCTTTTCTCTGATGAAGATGAAAAACCAGCAGCTGCAGCATTTGTGGTGCCAGTTTTGCACTGGCCATCCTCTTGTTGGCATTGGCCAGGCTGGCGTCAGCTTTACAGAATG